AGGTGGAGGGGTCCAAGCCACACTCATAACTGACTTGGTTTGTGTGCAACTTGCAATTTCACCCCACTTCCTCAACATGTCATCCACAGTGTAATCTGTGAAAAGCTCCAAAGATTTCAGCCACTGTACCGCCCTAATATGAATGAAAGCCCTCAGATCTGTTGTTCCTCTCTGAGCTTCTGAGAATATCCTGGAGTTTCTTTCTTCCCAAAGTGTCCAACATACTGTAGCCCTTAGTCCTCTCCACGTTGTCCTTCCCCTTTCTATCCGCCACCTGAACAGAGAAGGGGAAAAAGGCCCTGCAAGTCTGATGGGGGATTCCAGCTACATCCAAATAGGGACAGAGCCCATTCTCAAATTGACCTCGCAAAATGGAAAGACACCAGTAGGTGAAAACCTGTCTCCCCATCCGCTTTACAAAGAACGCACCATTGAGGTGACAAACAAGTATTGGGTCTCTTCTTTTGGAGTAGATCACYAGTGTTGATTCTTTCCAGATAGGCTTCCCGACAAAAACTACCAACCCTAGGAGGTATTGCTCTGCACCAAACCTCATCAACAGGAAAAGGGGGGAAGGTAGGACTGGTGGACTGACTTAAGACTTTGAAGAAAGAAGCACAACAAAAGATGTCGTAGGGGGTAGGTGTCCAAATTCTAGAATCCACCCTAGTGGGGTCTAAGACAATGTTATCAAGAAGTGCTAAAAGGCTCAAAATATTGTCAAAGTCCGAATCCCTCAAATCCCTTCTTAGACCCAAGTTCCACCCAATCCCAGAAGTGGAAGAGGACAAGGTGGTKAAAGACGAGATTGGCTCATTTTTCAAATCAAAAAGAGCATACAAAGAAGGAAATTGATCCTTTAGAGAGACACTCCCCACCCAGGTTTGTTCCCAAAAATTTATGGAGTTACCGGAATTCAAATCAWACCTGATATTAGGGGAGAAAGCTGGTAGCAGGTCATGAATGGCTTTCCAAGGAGAATTGCTTGTGGTCCTAGCTCTGATTCCAGCGTCCCATCCATTATGCTCC